CTGAACAATATGGCCCAGTCAGATCCAGTGTGTGATATTTTTGTTATACAAGTATGTATATTCATATAAATTTAGCATTAAGGGTAAGGGCAAACTTAAGAATAATCATTTCTAGAAACAATCAGATGAAACCTCCATAGGCGTAGCCAGGGGGGGGGGGGGGGTGCGATGGGTGCGATCAATTTTTGTAAAATTCAAAATAAATCTTATTTTTAGATTGTTTACGCCACAATCCCTCTGACTGAAAACCGAATTTTTTTAATGTCTATCGCACCTCCCCCCGACTGAAAGCTGGCTACGCCCCTGACCTCGATAAATTTTGGAAAACAGAATAATCAAAGGAAATGTTGTGTATTTGTTCAAGACCTTTGATAAAAATCACTGATTTTCGTCATGAATCGATTATGCAGCTGTTATTGGAAACATTGAACCAGTCATCCAGGTATACCATAAACAGTCAGCTGGAAGTGATTTCCATATATTCATAATGGTAGTTAGATCTAACCTTTTCTAGCTTTCCATTAATCAAATCTCCCTAATCCTCTATATTAGGAGGCTAATACCCCAACTGCCACATCTCACATCAAAGTGCCAGAACTGACTGATTTTATTCATAGCCAGTGATTGATTATATTAAGGAGACTGTCTTCCATAAAGATTGGCGCGTCCTTATGCCGTTTATGGTGATGTATCTCCATCTTTGACTGAAGTTCCTAGATCAGTGGTGCCTGATATCACCTTTATTAATTTAGATACATGAGACATAGACGCCAAGAGGCCGGTCAGAAGGGGCATCGCATTCGCTCATGTGGATATCCCATCTACAACTTACTATAATATCCTATCTTGAATCAAAAGAGCATATGCTTGGGAGACAATGGGAAATTAGAAAAGTATTGAGCTGGAGTCATTATAAACTTATCACACTCACAGTCTTAATTAAAAATAAGTACTTTTTCCAGTGGACCTTCAATGGTTGACTGAGGCAATATTAAAAATGTAGGCCTACTCCAGCCGATGCCTACTCAGACAGAATGAAAATGTTCACCTTATCAACCAAGGTTTCACCATGGGCTTTCACTAAAAGGACACAGTGACCAAATAACAATAGGCCAAATTAGAAAGATCTGAAGAGGGCATTTGAGTTCGGTAGTCAGACAAAAACACACTTTTCACTAAGTCTCCACCATAGTGTTCATTTAAGAAAATTGTCCAAACGACAATATTGAGCAACCTGATACTTGTTTATATTGCCCCTGGACTATTCATTAAATCTTAGCCTATATTCATTTACAGTTGGAATCTAATACAATTATCAATTTAAAGGGATGTCATATACACGATGAATGAAACTGACAATTAATATGGATCAAAACTACAAGCAATATTGATCATCTGGTGTAAAGAGTAAGCAAGTCCAGTTGCAGCTTTTGGCCTGTTTCTTTATAGATCTTTCAATTAGTCTAAGCTTTCAATATCCACTCTGTCAATCATACTTCACTTGTCGCTATTGCATTATCGCCTATAGCTGTTACCTAATTGTCTCCAAAGTGTTATTTGCTTAGCCTTGTATCTTATCTCTTGAGTCCCTCTATATGTCTATTTCCTTTTTTGAAATGGTTGAAGGTCACAAGGGTTTGATAGACAACTGTTATTTACTCACTTCAAACAAATAAGCACAACTGGGAACACCAAGAAACATGAAGAAAGCAAAGAAACATATTTTGAAAGAATCATAGCGATAAAAGCATGTGTTGGGGTTTCCAGCCAACAGGTGTCTAATTATTCTAACTACTTGCTGAGGTACAAAGTAAGTTAACCGAAAGTGTCGATTTTATCAAAATGGCAGGTACTCGATGGCACCTCTACAACAATCTACGTGAAATACATGTATCAGCCCACAGAACCAATCCATAATCATGATAAAATGCGGTTGATAGCATTATAAAATAATATACAGTAGATCATATATATATTGTACAATATATATTATGTATTCATTTTTTATATTATCTATTGCACATTATTTTCATTACAATAGCTGTGTTCATAATTCATCCACAAAATGTACATTAACAGACCAGATACTGGTCTATAAAAAATATATGTTTTGTATTATAAATGTATTTTGAAAGTAAAATAATGCAAATCAAACGTCTAAATGAGTAGCTCTACTTTTTAGAATTGCAATTTTCATTTCAGAATGATATCGCATCTCCCATTAATCTGTCCGACTCCCTGTATCATAATAATCAGTGTCAGCAATGATATGTTATTCATTGGTGCCGTATTACTAGGCATTGTGTTCTGTCGTTTTGTTAAATTAAAATGAAGAGATCCAAATACAAATACAATGTGAGATAATCCAAAATAATGAAGTAGATGTAAAACATAAGTTGTATATGATGAGGCTCAAAAAATGAGTGTGGCACAGATTAAGGAATATGACTGGTAATACAAATCGATTATTTTACCTGGTAAATTCTGATATTTGTATCGGGTCTACAGCAGGTAAATATGTAATGACAAATGTGACAGTTCACATGTACCCAATACCAAGATGCTGTTAGATTAATATAAAACAATACGAGGAAGTCATTTTCAACAGTATCATCTTTAAATAATTTCTTACTAATATCAAAAAAATATAATTATATCTGATAAAATATAAAAGCACGACCAGATAAAAGTGCATGTGCTATGTTCGTATGTAAATGAAAAACCAACAGGCCGATAACTTTTTCTGTAATGGATAAACTATGAGTCTTGGATATTAGGTCAAATAATAACCAAGGGCCGATAGGCAAGACGAGTGGTTTATCTAACTTAAACCCCACAGTGACTCTTATGTAAATGGCATATGCTCCAATTTTAGGAAAGTTTGATTTTTGTATTGGCTATGAGGTAAGTGCGTTGAGAAAAAGTGGGTGTGATAAGTTCAGTTTTAGTGCATTGCGTGTGACAGTCCAGGTGTGGACATTGAGCATGGGAACACAATTTGTAAGCTTAGGTCCATACTCTGGTAGCAATGTATTCGAGTAAATTGTTTTATTTTAAAGAATGCACTGTAACAATACAAGAGCACATGTTCATTTGCATATTGTTTTTTAAATGATGGAAACTATCAAAAAGCGTCAATCGTCTTTTGTTCTCACTGGTTTTGGATGGCTTGGCAAGTGCTCATTCTTTAAACATAGAAAAAGAATGCACTCTTCTTTGTTACAAATGTATCCAAACCCAGTTCGCATTCACTATTGTACTAAAGGAAATATTCAGATCTAAGTGCCTCATGGGATCTCCATCATGTGATAAACATCTTCTTTTATGGCACCATAAAACTGGTGGGACATGGATCTAACATACTTAATAATAACCAATTTTGTATTACTACTGCATTACTAATTTATAACGCAGATAATCCGATAGAACATGGTAAAAACATAAACTACATATGATGGTATCCAAACATCAAACTATTCAAGCAGCTCAATAACATCACTCTTACTGACATTATTTTGATAAATGCAAATTAAAGAAACTACAAAATGATCGGTGGAGGGGTTCAAACTAGAGAGAAATCAATTCAGTGTCATATCCAAAGCAATAGAGTAACTGGATGCTTCACTCTGGTGATGCATTGAAATATGCTGGCCAAAAATGGGTAATATTTTGATTTTGCACACACATTTGCAAAAAATCCTGGAGAGAACACTGTATCCTGAAGAAGTACATACTGAGGACGCTTTCCAGTTTTGCGGATCATTCTTTCTGTTGGGGATATGTGGTGAACCAATAATCCATTCACTGAGATTATGATTATCTAAAAGTATACAAAACAATGACGAGCCTTCAGCAATTGAATCGAAATCAGCGTAAATAATTTTTAGCTAGGTTTCCTAACAGGAATTGGTTCTCTCCCTTTGGCACTTGTGCTAAGATATTTATTGCCCCTTTATGTTTTTTCATGGATATTTCTAGTTTTATTTCTCCATGCATTCGTGAAAAGGACAAGACACTATTATGTAAAATCACATATCAATCTTAAGGCCCCTGGAGTTGTATATTGAGAACAAATTCCTGATTGAAATTATTGACCACTCTTAATACATCTCATGAGATTATTTCCCCAATTTTAAAAGAGTCAAAACCTCAAGAGTATTTTTCCACTTACTTTGCCCATCATTACATAGCCTGGCTTGATTATTTGACGTCTTTAAGCTGATAATGGGTTACATCTGCAATGTTATCATCGGATTGGATGTATCCACTATCTTCAATGGTATCTTATTGATCCGGATAAGGAGATATAACAAATCTACTGAGAAATAAAGTGTTACTGTTAATAAGTGTAAGGTAACATTGTTTACTTTGAGTTATCTTTAGCATTGTTGATTTTGTCACATGGGATAGAAAACTTTGTTTGAGAGATTGTTATATCATGCTACCCCTCAATTTTGTATAATCATAGAATGAGATGATAAAAATAAAAGCATTTGCTATAAGTATGTTTCCATCTTGCAATGGCCTGATACTCTGCTAATGTTTTAACAACTTCCCTTCCCAATTAATGATAATCAAATTGAATTGAATCTAACACCAGTTAATGTAATCTAATCAAGAGAGGATATATATCAGAAACAACTTTAGAATACCTTAAGGGACCTCCTAATAAAATTTATTTAAAAATACAACGAGGCCTTGGTTGAAAGATCAGAAAATGCAAATGCATAATTTGACATTCTGATTAAAATGAAGATAATTTAGTCTAGTCGGGGGAAAGAACACTGTCTATGGATGGATCAGCATTACAAATTTGGCTGAATGTTTAAACAACTCGGTCTTAGAGAATGAATAATTATTTGGATGAGAGGGGATGTTATTGGTCTATGGTGTTTTAGGGTTGGAGAATTTGTGAGTTCCTTTTCAAGTGTTGCCTTTCATGCCATCACCACTCTTACAAACTTGTCATGAAATAAATACATCAACATTGTATGTTTCAGATACATGTGCTACATGATTTCTGCAATGCTACAAAGACGTATTGTGCAGCAGAGGGCCCAATGGGACCACCTGGATTACCTGGGATAGATGGGTCACCAGGGATGCATGGATCACCAGGTATTTCTGTAACCCTGCTTAAGATATAGTGTGCATGGTTGTTTCAACAGAGTCGTTTCAAAAAGCATTCCTGATTTCCTTTGATAAGATCCTTTTAACATTTGAGAATAACAATAACAATCATACTATAGAAATTGTCATAAGCCATTTTGTTTCTCTGGTCTTAAATCAGTATTATTACACTTCTGAGATTCACCATATTTGCATGTAAATGCAGGCTAATGACAGTTCAACATCAAAGTATCTGCTATAAAAGTATGAAAACTGTAAACAATATCTGTTATCCATTTCTAGATTTGTGTTTCATGAGACTTTACATTTATCAAAGCACTGATAAATTCCTTAGGATCAAAACCTTAAGACCAATTTAGAGAAATATACCCCTGAGATTCGAGACAATACTAGAGAAAAATAACGTTGATGGATTGCTTTTAAAGTATTAGTACCATCTTAGGTATTGGAATTGATTAAATAATCATGATGCAAAGATTGGGAAAACCCTCCAATGATTTGAAAGTATTGAATGAATCCACAAAAGTTCTCTTTGCCGTATATTCTGTCATATCACATTTATTTTCTTTATCCCTCCTTAGACAATCGAAAGTGTACTATAACAATCTGTCCATGTCACCTTGGTTAAAATACATGGAATATTAATTCCACGAGTATTTTCCCAAATTGATTCCTACAGTGCATGCTTACGTTATGTCATTCAGACAGACATCATAAAAAACTACAAGACAATCCAAACCCTTCCAGGCAAATACAAACAAATACAGCAAGTAGGAAAACAAATATTGACAATAGATACAAAGTATAAGAAACCAAAAACTTGATTTGATTTTGAATGTTTTTTTCCCTGTTGACAGCCAAAATCAAAGCATCATTTGAAAGACTCTAGCTAAATTTGATTATACCTATTTCTATTGATATTTTCACTTAGGCAGTTAATGTAATCAGGTGAGGCTAACGCAATTCCTAAAAAGTGGGAAAATTGCATAAAAGGGAAATTGATTGATAGACAAATAAGAACTCTTATCAGCCCAGGCCATATACATCATTCCAGCCTCGTTATTCATCACTGTAGGGAACAGTCCCTGAATCAGAATATAATAAGTCAGACTATGCTCATTTAGAACAGAAAGTATAGTTGTCCTGAACAGAAAATCCAACCATCCAGTCTCTCCGTGTCTTGGTACACAGAGAGTGGGAGGTGCTGGATTTTCTTTTCGTGACAACTACAATATTTTTTCGATGCCTATGACATTATGTTTTCATCTTAAACTATCCAAAAGGGCCAGGAATGGCCATGTTTCTTTAATGTTTCATCATTATATGCTACATACTTGCCACTATATGTCAAGATTACTGCCAGTTAAAAAGACGAGATTAATATTGATGTTAACAGTGAAATCTGGGCCATGAAATGTATCACCTTCTAAATATTACTGTAAATATAATAAGCGTGGACATGTCCAAGGGTTGTTACATTATCAATGCTAATTGGTTCTATACATTGATACTCATTCACTGATGGATATTGTTTTTTTCTTGTTTCCTATTTTGCCACTCGTGAGTTTGATTATAATTGTAATGCCCTGTTTATATAAATAATATTTTCGTTGTAATTGTACAAGGTGTGCCAGGGAAACAAGGGGAACCTGGTGCACAAGGTCCTCCTGGATTGGATGGTACCCTGGGAGAGAAGGGTGCAAAAGGAGATATGGGCGAGTTGGGGCTGCCAGGTTTGAATGGTGAGTAAGCAATAGAATAGCCTACTGAGAGACCTAAACATAAAATCAACTAGTGTTTTAGTGAGAGGTCAACACATTGGTCCTGTGTACTTTGTTGATCAATCAAAAACTGTCACAATTCAAAGGAACTATGCTATATCATTATATCCCCTGGGGGATGAGTCCATTTTACAGTTAATACAGCTATAGACCCTACAAATCCTGAATGAAATAACATAAGCGAAAAATTATTCCTCATGCGGTGTAGGTGTCACTTTCTGTGAGTCAATCCAGTATAAAGAGAGGATTAGAATACTAACACAGAGGGTGAGATTAAATTGGTTTATCTATAGTTCATTTGCAATGCGCTGGTGTAGGACATTACAACTAACCTCATCTGAGTTGAAAATGATATTGTATTTTATTGGGTCCCAGAAGCAACCAAAGGATAAAATTGTGATAATTTTCTTCATTTAGATTCAAGCAAGAATAAGGCTTGAATATTGCCTTGAATCAATCCTGACATTTTTGTCTTGGAAACCAAGGTATTATTTGATTTGTCATTGTTTATCTATTATTGATGTGATAAAATGATTATACTCATCATGGATAAAAAGCAAGTGCTGAAAAAGTACCATAATGTATTAAATAAGGATGCCCATGCGAAGTAGTAATCCATTAAATATACTGTCACTCTAAAAAATAACCACTTTTTGCAATACCCCATGTTGTGCCCACAAGAATGTGTTAAAATAATTAATCAATTTGTCGGGCTCTGAATAAGGGTAACAAGATTGGTGGTTAGAGACAGAAAATCAACAGAAATAATTCTTAATTGGTCCAAAGTGACAATCTGAGATTTCTTGAGGCATTCTGAAGAGAAAATCAGTGAAAATGTCATTTTACTGAAAATTAACAAAGTTGCTCTTGAATGCTGAGAATAACTGGTAATTGAAAGTGACACTGAGATCACTTGCTATTTACAAGGTAAATATTCAAGTGTCATTCATTTTGAAATATTAGGTATGGAGTTTCTTAATTAAGCAAAATTCTCCCTTCTAATACTTGTATATTTCATTACTGCTTTGGCAGGATATAATCTGAAGATGACATGGAGTTGTTGCAAGAATCACCCATATTATATACACACGCCCGGTGATCGTGAAAATGGGACGGAGGGGGGGAACAGGCAATTTCCGCTAGAAAATTCAACAAATCTGGCAAAATTATTTTTTCAAGACAGAGTTTACTATTGGATTGCAAATTGAATAAGCGCACGGTATGATAAAATATGTTAGGTATTCTAGGATTATTTTTCAACCGATACTCTTTTAAGATATAAGATCTATTAAAAAAGGCGCAACGCAACCAACGTGCAAAAGTCAAAGTTTTTGCTATAAATCAAGCAACAATGGACTACACGACCTGTAATAAATACTTGTAAGTGATGTTATCATAACTAAACTAATGTCATTGCTGAATTTATAAAATAAGTTTCCATACGTAAAATAAAAAATAATCGAAAATAATTAAAATGGAGCGGAGGGGGGAGGGGACGGAGGGGGGGAGTAATAATTCTATAAAGTGAAACAACTTCACACGATTCTTGTATTTGAAAAATGAACTCATTAACTTAGTAAGAAACTGGATGATATACCCCTGGAGACTGAAAAATGGGGACATTTGGAGTAAAATGACTTAAAGTCGCGAAACATCTCTAATCATGTCTTATATACATATTGCTCCCCCCCTCCGTCCCCTCCCCCCTCCGTCCCAAATTCATTATTTTCGATTATTTTTTATTTCACATATGGAAACTTATTTTATAAATTCAGCAATGACATTAATTTAGTTATGATAACATCACTTACAAGTATTTATTACAGGTCGTCCAGATCATTGTTGCTTGATTTATAGCAAAAACGTTGATTTGTGCCTGTTGATGGCCTTGCACCTTTTTTAATAGATCTCATACCTTAGATGCGTATAATTTCAGAAAAAATCCCAGAAAACCTAACATATTCTACCATACCATGCGCCTATCCATTAAGTAATTCAATAGTAAACTTTTTCTTGAAAAAATAAATCTTCCAGATTTGTTGAATTTCCTAGCAGAAATTGCCTGCTCCCCCCTCCGTCCCATATTCACGATCACCGGGCGTGATACAGATTTATACCATGGTCAGAGCAATATCAGGTATATAATAGCAAGTGATAAACATGATAAATCACATATTTGGGATGGGGATGATATCAGGATTAGAGGAATAATATTGATATCATCCCGGGTAAATAAAAATAATATACATTTTTTCCCCCAAAAAATTCATTCGGATGATTTTGATATTTCCATTGGTCACTGGATTCCCTTGGGTTATTGATATCACCCTTGTGATATTCCCCATATCAAATCCCTCCTGGTGAATACCTACTTTGTATTCATTGAAAAATGACAAAAAGCCAGATTGAGTTTATTTGCAAAAACAAACAAGTAATTCTATATTGCATCTGTTATCTTAGGAACAAGGGGTAGAAGGGGTAGGAAAGGACAAGAGGGTCAACTGGGCCACCCTGGAAATGATGGTAAGAGTAGAAGGTTGCATACATGCCCACTTCCCCATACTGTACATACAGCATGCATAATACCTTTCAGACTAATATGATTACTGGTTCTGGTTTTAATTACTAGATTCAGATTTGAGTGACTTATCTGATAATAGATTTCCACTTGTTGATTCTAATGTTCTGAGGCTTATAAATCCTAAAAACTAATTCATTTATTTCAGCACCCAGGCCTGCCATTCATTTATAGTTTAACACATCCCGTGGGAAAGGAATTTCGCCAATAATTGATTGGCACTGCAAATAACGAAAATGACCGCCTTTTCAATATGCTAAGGTAGTCGAATGCTGGAAAGAAAAAGAATCACATGATTACTTATATGTAGAGATCATGTTTTCAGCGATATACTAAATTGTACATATTTGCCTAGTTTGGCAATTATCCTTAATTGTCTTTCTCAACAAAACATATAGTTAAAGCTCTACAAATGTGATATTTCTTCTTCATTGTAAACTAGTTTAGCTCCCAGAACAGCATGATAAAATGCTCTGATTGAAACACTAACATTTCTCTACTTCTAGAACTAATTTACTTTGCACTTGGAAGAGGTAATAACATAAATTAGAGTAGAGCATCCTATAACAATCCTATGCATTCAACTACTTTCTAGGTGTGGGTTTTCAGCGTCTAAAAAGGCACATTGAAACCAGATTTACGAGGGAAGATCAACACTGTAAGCGAAGGAAATGTGAGCATTTTGGCTTTTTACTAATAAGTACTAATCTACCAAAACACCTGTTTCCAATAGGCAAACTAATAGCACGTAATACTATAACTATAATGCTTGATCATCTAAATGATACCACATGTTTAAAGGCGGATATATGAATATTATAGCCTTAGTACATTTCAATTCATTAGACTAATTGATAAAATTTGTTTGATAACATATTTATTGGATACATTTGTACCGAAAAGAATCAAAATTATGGTGATAACCATATTGCATATCCTCAATAAAAGTTTCATTCGCTATAAATGGTAGCCTGCAATAGATCCTCTAATGAAGTTTGAATTCCTGTTGATTTGCACAATATATTGTCATTGGGGTAAGATAAACCACGGGTTGTAATCAATGATGCTTCAGACCATATGCTCATGGATTTTTTTTATATATTACTTAGAACAGATCCACAATGTAACGTAAATGAAAACTGTAATATAAGACACACACTTTTTGTGTATTGCCATTTAGGTGAGGAATATCATGTTTATCAATTAGCAAGTAGAAGTGACATTCCCAAGTCAGGTCTTTACTCTGTATTGCATTGTCTTAAACCTCTTAGATGTTTCACCCACAGGTCAAAAAGGTGAGAAAGGAGATTCGGGTATTCCAGGAATACCAGGAGTCCAGGGTCCCAAAGGAGACAGGGGTGATTGGGGACCACCAGGAATACAAGGACAACATGGGGAACCTGGACCTAAAGGTAATCACTAAATCCAAGTGATGTGAACAATACAAAATAGATATTCACAAGACATAATTTGGTCATAGAGACATCAAACATGCTATGTTTTTTCACTTACCTGGTCATGTATTTAGAAGGAAGTCTGTAATAATGCATTTTTGGCAGGAAATGCATAATTAAGAATTCTGATATTCATCAATTGAATAAAAGCTTAGACAAAAATGTCCATGTTGTCAAATACTTCATAACATAATGTCGTCCTAACCAGAATAGATCATAATATTACCATACAACAAGAATATAAACCTAATTATATAAGAGATGTATGATGACAAATACCTCATGGGGAATTCTAGAAAGGAAACACAGTGATAAAGTAGCTTATTGAAAAAGCTTCCAGTTCAAGAAGGTGTAGACCCAGATGTTGAATAGGAGCTCCAGAATTAGAAGTTGTATGTAAGTCTTTTCCCTCAGAACGAGGACCATGGCATAATGAACTGATGTAAGTAATTCAAGGACAATCACAATCATTTGGGTACCCGATAGTATGATATGAATGTCATAGTTGAGGCTTGTAATTGAAATGCTTGCGGTTAGACTGTTAGAAATTAGATCAATGAGTGAACTTGGGAAAACAGAAAAGTAAATATCTAAGCTTTAATTGATTTACTACCTGAACAATATATGAGGATGGCACTTGATGTTGACTTTGTCAGGTTTACCTAATTATTTCTTTTAAATGTACTTTTAATTCACGCTTATGCTTAAGGATGGGCTGGATTGCAAATAAAGAAATAATGAGAAAAACGAACTCTAAATCTCTTTATAAAATAACTGCTGCTATTATATTAAATATAATCTAATTGACTTATGAAATTAAAAACAAAATAAGAGAATTAAGCAATGTAATTAGTATTATAATATAAGATATTCAAATTTATATGAGTTGCCATGATATTCTGACTGAACCTCACCATGACTTAAGAGGTGAAAATGATCTTAGAAATGTAATTATTATGAGCACATAAAACATTTATATTAAATGAGTTGCCATGATATTCTCATTGTAGGTCACCGTGGCCCGAGAGGTGTAGATGGAGTGATGGGAACTAGAGGTTTTAATGGAACAGATGGCCTACCAGGTAAGGCTACTTCACCCAACACTTGTATACAGCTTCATAGACTAGACATCATATCATATCCCATTCAATAGAATCCAGTATATTCATTAGAATGTCATAGCTCATATAGATAAGAAACTGATTTGTCTTTGTTTCAATTCTCATAACATGTTATCTAATTAACATAACAAAGATTTTATTGTAAATAAATTGATGATACTCATTTATATGAATGGACATTATGAGAATAGTAACATATTGGTGGAAAAAGCCATGCCAGGACATTTAAAATTGGAGCTGTGTGTTTGTTACAATTCGACAAATTATAACACTTCGAAATATAACAAATGTAACCAACAAATCATAATTATGGTAAAGCAACAATTGCATGTAGACAAATCTAAGTGATAAAACAAATTAATAGAACAAGCTTTTACTAGAGAAATCTAAATCAACATTCCAACGGGAAGTATTAATTCCTAATCTACATCATATCCTACTCAATTTGTTTTTACTACGCTATAATAAAGAGTTTCAACGCATTATTTACTTATGTGAATATCTATGGCAACACACATTGCAAAATTTTGCCTTAGCTGTTCTATTTAATGACTGCCATAAAATTTGGTGTAATAGGAATGTTTTAATACTTAACTCCTTTGAGAGTCCTTCTTTGACAAATGACCTTTCTTTTCTATCAATTTTAATATTCCAGCGTATATTTATGGTTTCAAAAGAGGAGTAAATTTGACATTTGAGATGCCCGTATATCATATTATACCAGGGAACCTGTCTTGGCTGATTTATTACAATCCCACGAATTCATGATCAGGATTGTATATTCATATTATCTATTCTAACATTGTTCATCAATTCTCCTTCCTTAATAGTCACAAAATTCCAGGAAACACATTTGGAGAACAGTAAAGCCAACCAATACTCAATAAACCCTATCAAGCAAATGACTATAATACAATGCTGTTTCGCAATTTTAATTTTTAAATATTTAGTTTCTGCGTGATGATGCAAATATATTTGTGCCTTTTCATTAAAATTAGATGTTGATTGTTCTCACATTTTCTATCACTATTCATTCTTATTCAATTTGAGTAAAACATAATATATCAGGATAAATTATTTCCAAGACCAATTTAGAGGTGCCATACATTATCAGTGGATCAATAAGGTAAAACGTTATTGAAACTAGATATATGAACAATGCATCATCCATATTCCTGCAAACACAATCATATAAAAAGAATGGAATTAGTTACACACTCAATATAATTAGCTTTTCTGTCAAACATTGGCTTTATTGGTTCAGTAACTGATACAAGAGATATTGGTGTTTTAGTGCTTGGAAATTCCCATTTCCCGTGAAAAATTACCTAAATTGTGGTATGAGTCTTTATGATAGATGCAGCAGTCCTGCAAGTCTACCAACCATGTAATAATCTTATTTGCAGGCAGTCAAAATACTAATAAACTTGGCAGGAAATACATCTTACTGAAATTTACAATTGGCAAATTCTTAATCGTATTCATATTTGAAGATATTTTTTCCATAAGGTTTGGCATTATCGCTGTTATTAATAAAAAGGTGTTGTATTATATAAAAAATGTGTATCATGTCATAGTGGCACAAATTATAAATTTAATGGTACTAATTTTCAGAAATTCGAGTAAAATTTAGAAGATTTAGGTCACAGTATAGACCTTGCAAATGCATTGGTATGTAAAAGCCTAAATAAAAGCTTATGAGAAGATAATATTTTTTCTAGATGTTTGAGGTTTTGTCTTTTGGATGGTAATTTGTACCAATTGATTTTGTGAGGGTAATTGAAGTACACCTGGAATTTGGAGAGAACTTTAAAGCAAATGCATGGCAATAGTGATATTTATTTTAAAAGGTATGACAACGAGACCATGTACTAATAAGGGGCAGATTAAACTGAACAATTGCAATTGCTTAGGGTCTTCCACAATAAACCTTTGCTGCAATAACGACTTTACTAAATGAAACACATGCTTTTGCAATTTTGTTAGATTTAGTTTGCATTAATACCATCATTTTGATCACTGGTTGAGGTGAGGTACAACATGTGTACAACATCCAAATCATAGCTTTATCATTTAATTACTTATATAAAAATATTATTAAATACATAATGGATAATGGTCCCAGCTTGTATCTAGGGGCCAGAGAACATGCAATAAATGAATTCATAAATACATGTATGATACATGTTAGATAATAGTTGTTACTGATCGTTCATGTATATCAACGAATTTAGATCATATAAAACAATGATGAATTTGTGTGAAGCACTTTTGCTTACATATACAACATATATGCACATGTTAATGTGATGGCAATAAGCAATGTAGCCAAGAAGAGACAAACTGAACAACCAGATCAGATAAAGACATAGTAATATATAGACTGACATCTATGACTGTATAATAACATTGATTCTAGAAAACATTCAAATGTCCCTGGAAATATTGGAACTTACACATGACTGTACTATTCATTTCTAATTTGCTACAACAGGACCTGAAGGTCCCAAGGGTGAAAAGGGAGCAAGGGGTCTCATTGGATTCCCTGGATATGATGGTACCATATACTATATATGTCAAGCAGTGCACTTGTCTATCCATGTTGTCAAATCATGTTGTTATAATACAAAATGAGTGTCATTAATATTGTTTGTATGTGAAATACATGAAATTGCTGTGCCTTTATCAACAATGTGTGTGATAAATAAGATTGGCTTGTGAATATATTTATATTTTATATATTATATTTGTGATATAATTATAAATGGGGCATTCTGTGATATCTTAATTTATGTGTGGAAATGTATAAGTTCTGATATCAATACTAACCCTTTGTGTTTCTTTTTTAACTGATTTTACGTGGTGTAATTTGTGCTCCTGCATATAAATATGATATATTTCCAATAATTGCATATCATGATTAAAATAGATTTATTACTAGCTGATTGTTCAATGTATTCAAACTGCATTGCTTCTCTCACTTTAATGTAATAAAACATTTCAAATTGTCACATCACATCAGAAATATGGCTTCATATTACTACTCTCTAAGGCAGTTTAACACGTTCTTTAATAAAAATAATAATAACATTATCTAACTCAATTGCGTTCGATAAATTGATTGACCCATTAATTAAAATAGGCTGTATGTAATTTGTTTATGGTATAAATACAATTACATAATTCTCTTATGATTACAGGTAAACCAGGCCCACAAGGCCCTCCAGGGCCACCGGGTGCACCAGGTAAAAATGGTACTATTGGTCCACCAGGGCCAAAAGGTGGGTTAAGCTAGGTAAAAGATTCCCCAGCATGATGAAGTGAGTCATGTCGGACAATAACAGAAAGGTCCATAGTAGACTTTGTCTCTAGAAAATGAGCACAATGAATGCACTAACATTTATCACATATAAAGATTGAATTAACATTTTTTTGCTGTTATGTAATAATCATAATAAAAAGGAGGTACCTTATATTAACATCATGCTTCAGGTTTCTCTAGCTTTATCCATTTCTTTTATCAATTTACTTATTTGCTCTAATAATATTCATAAAGTTACTAACAAAATAAATGATCCACTTGCTATCACATTAGTAGATATTAACAAAATATTGTAAATTAACTGAAATTCAATATATAGTGTGTCCATTTGAAAAGAAAACCAAAAACTCACGTAAATCATAGGGACAGGATTATCCTAATATGAATCGACAACTAGTTCTGCCATAATAATCTTTAGCCCCTACTAGTATAATTGGTCTATTGTGAATACTAATAAATTAATATTAAAGTTATATCTTTATTGCAACCCAGGAGGAATGCAAGGTTTGGACATTTCAATATAGTTTTAAATAATGTTTTATATGCACTAATTGTTTTTTACTATTTTCTTATCAAACAATATGATATAATATTTAGTTTTTAATCACTGCTACATATGAGTTGTATACTGCATTAATAAAAAGCATTCCAGAGATTCAAATGTTAAAGATAAAATTGTAACTATAACTAAAATGCAACTTTATGTTTTAATATTTTGTTGGGTCATATTGTTGTTTTCTTTTAAGCCTAATTACATCCACTGTTATTGTTTTGTTTTAATGTATGTGTTTAGAGTCACATGCCCTCAAGTCTTGTCTCGAGTATATGTTAAGTGTATTTCTTGTAGGAGCCGAGGGTCTAAAAGGGAGACGTGGAAGACGTGGGCCTGAGAAACAAGGCACAAAGGGAGAGCTCGGGCCTAGGGGACCCCCGGGACCCCCTGGCTCTGTTATCAACTGTTCATGTACGCTGTTTGTTTTTCATGTTGTTGTCCACACCTTTGTTGAGTTTTCAAACTAACAATTTTACTAACATGTTAAATAATAATTTAAATATAAAATAATACTAATAAAATAAATAATCAACAATGAAAAGCATGAGACAACCATTTTGTTAGTGACTCCCCAGTCAAGACATACTAATGTTATAACATCATCTCTCAGTGTTAAATCACTTACCTTAAAAACATTTAAACATCTTGTTATACATTTAACAGAAAAACTGATATATGATATGTACCCTATTTGGATATATATCCCAAATGAACTTCATTACATGTTAAAGTTATACATTCAGCTATCTATGAAATGTGACATTCTCTGTCTATTTGACAAAGAATGACACAACTGATCTTATATATCTATACTGTCTAAAATATGTGCCTGTTACAGCCATAAATTCATGTTTCTCAAATGGTCAACTGTATATCTAAAATCATAAAGCTACAAAATGTAAATATAAAACTACATGCAGCTGTTCCTCAATATATATTTCTCCACTGTTTATGTTCCTGCTTGCACTACCAGGCAGGAAAGGAGAGAAAGGGGACAGGGGAGACAAGGGACATAGAGGCATGGTTGGATTCCTTGGATACAAGGGAGAGAGAGGTCAACATTAATGTTAACTATTATACCATGTAGTTTATTGTTTCGGTCATTCTCCTCAACAGACTATTCAGTTCTTTTCTCTAAATGTGAAGAAAACCTCTCAATGTGAAGGAGTTTTAAATAGTTCCTTTGATGTTGTAGTCTGGATAGAGTATTTCATTAACTAAAACAGAATACTGTATGTGTATTTAAACTGATATCCCTTAGAATAGTCATATGATAGTTTTATTTTGTTTGACTAGTTTTTGTTTCTACAATGTTGTCAGTACAACGAACACATGTATCATTCTTGAGAATGATCCCAAGAAAACAGCAAGCAAAGGCTGGCATGTAGAAATTATAGAGTCTTGTAGATTTTAAATTACAATATTATTAGTGTATATGATTTTTTCTTCTTTATCCAAATTTGCATGCAATAAGGCTATGTTCATTTCACCAGTCGTGACCTATTGCACTTGACAGTAATTAAATCATCAATGTTGATTTCCCCCAAAATCAACCATGCAATTTTCTTAGGCTTGCTTACAAAACAATTTTGTTTGCAAATGTGTATAATCATGCAGATGGCCATGACTTTTGAACTTGATATACGAGGGGTGATCAATAAGTAATGGACGCTTTTTTACACAGATGCTTTTTATAGACCAATCCCTTCGATTTTTTTACCAGAGATACATCATTCAATTATCTATCAACTCTGAAGATTTGAAGACAATATATATATATTACATGTTGATATATCTTTATTTCCGTGAAGGAGGTACAGGTACCCCGGGACCGACATTTACATCACATATTCTGAAGCTATTTTAGATTGTTTAACATGCAATGCAGTTGAATGCAGGCTGAACAAAACAAACCATTATGGTCATGAATTACCCCATTTTGTTATGCCATAGTAATAATATAATAATTTTGAATATTTTATCATCACTATCTGGTATTCATGCCACATTCATTCCTCTAAATAGTTTCCATCAAGTGCTACATGTACACAATTTCTCATCCTCTTCACTCAGGATTGTGAGACAAGGCTGAATCCATTCTCTGACATGGTAGCAAGATGCAGTTGCACGGGTTGTTTTATTTCATCAATGTCAATAAACCTGCGTCCTTTCTCTATAGAAATAAGTAGTATAGAAATAAACAAGTCACATGTGAGCAGATCTGGACAATATGGTGCCTTGGCCAAGGGCTCAACTTTGAGGTCCAGGAATATTGTTTTCTGAACATTTTGAGATCAGTGGGCAGGTGCATTGTCCATATGGAGTAGGGTGTTCCCTTCTCTCACCACCCCTTTCTTCCACTGAATGCTTTCTCGAATTGACCTGCAAACCCCTTCCATACAACACTCTGACATTACAATACTTTCTGTTTATGTGTTACCAGTCAGCAAAAAAATTTAAACAACACAACACTTGTTGCATTTAAAACGTTCAAATCTAACTGAAATTTACCAAACTGGCTAAAATCTAAATATGTGACGTAAATGTCGGTCCCGGGGTACCTGTACCTCCTTCACGGAAATAAGGATATATCAATATGCATTATATATCTTGTCTTCAAATCTTCAGAATTGATAGATAATTGAATGATGTATCACTGGTAGGAAAATCAAAGGGATTGGTCTATAAAAAGTATCTGTGTAAAAAAGCGTCCATTACTTATTGATCACCCCTCGTACTACACTGACAGAGAATTGGGATTGTCTGTTTAGTCTTCATTCAATGTTTCTAGCTACACCTGACCATTTAATTGCTAAAATCGACATTACATTAGGTAACAAACAAAGAAATCATATTTCATGGGGCCCTGACTGGCGAAAAGAATGTAGGCCAAATAGAATAACAGAAACCAAAGCTCTGCTGGTACATGGCAATTGACATGCATACCTTGATTAACTCTGGATCCTTAACTAACAATGCAACATCTTAAGTAATAAAGTCTACTGAAAAATAAGTAAAACAAACCTCTTTGAAAAATAACCTTTGTTATGCTTCATTAAAATTATTAGAAATAATAAAGCCATATTATATACAAACAATTATAATTTTTATTTCAATGATTGGTAATTGTTGTTTGTCATTGTAGGTGAAGTGGGGCCACCAGGACCTCCTGGGAAACAAGGTGATTGAACATTAAGTCAATTATAGTTATTTATTATAATTAAACATCATATGTCTATATAATTCCAAAATAGTACATAAAATAGCATTGTACCAGAAGACTTATCTGGATAATTACTTACATAATGATGATTATATATATGTATATGTGACCCTTCAATTTACTGATACAATATGTCTCTTAAGTAAGAATGTATTTTTATTTAAAAGCTATCAGTTATGTGACGATAGATGGTATGTTTATATGTTGTATAGCTGTTATTGTGTTGTGGTAACTTGACATATTTTTAGTATTGATTGTATTTTAAATGCCATAATTGAATAGTTATGACATGTACTATTAAGTGTCCAAATACACAACATAATTTCTGATATGTAATATTTGATCTTATGCACTTCCAGGGATATCTGTTTGGATTAATCACTTTTTAAAATGCTTATTGAAAAATCTCTATGTAAATCTAAGCTAGTCCTGATCTATAGCCTATGCAACCATTACAAAGTGAAAGATGTAACATCTGTATGTGTGTGTTGTAGGTGAGACTATACCAGGGCCTGTAGGAATAGCAGGACCACCTGGGCCAGCTGGACCAAGAGGATACAAGGGAGAAAAAGGCAATATAGGGGTACCTGGTGGTAAGACACACTGTTAAGCTTGATATTATATGTTGGAACAACTTGGTCCCTGAATTAGTAAATGACACTTTAACTTCAAATGTTTTAATTCCAAAATTTCTTCTTGAACTTACAACATATCAATTCCTTTTCAAATGGTTCAACATTTAGGTGTGGAACTGAATGACTCTTCAATATCCACATTATACCATTTAGCAATGACTTCAACACCTACATTCATACATTAAACTAATGACTTTCATGACTTCAACATCCACATTACACCATTCAGCCATGACTTCAACACCTACATTTATACATTACAGCATTAAGCCATGACTTCAACATCCACATAACAGCATTAAGCCATGACTTCAACACCTACATTCATACATTACAGCATTAAGCCATGACTTCAACATCCACATAACAGCATTAAGCCATGACTTTCTTGACTTCAACATCCACATTACAGCATTCTTTATACATTTGTTTAATTTCAGTATGTGAGAGTACCACACTGACAACCATACCTACTACTACTACCACAACAACAAGTAAGTCAATGGCTTAATGACTCATTAAAGGAACAGTGTGTGAATGATACATCTGAGAATTATAGGTTGCATGCATGTCTCCGATGCTGTTAAACTTACCATGTGCATATCATTATCATTATGGTTTATTCATGCTTCATTAGCTGGTTGGTCTAAGCATCAGCTGAAGTCAAAATATCAAAGCAATTAACATAAGCCTCCTCTGCTTGTGAAGTTTATGGTACTCAAAATATGTAAAGATTGAATCAGTATTTTATGGTTCTTTGATCAATTATCAGTGATATTTACAAACCAGTTTGTTACTTGCATGCTCAGGAAAAATAACCCATTTGCATACTTCAATTCTGACTCGTGATCCATGTGCACTGTCATACTTACTTACTTGCATGGTTTATATTTTATGCTGCGTTGAAGGAAAATTACGGCCTGTAGTTAAGCCAGGAGAAATCAGACAACCGAGGCCGGGTCGTAAAAACACTGCTGATTTAACCCATGTATCCTATTTACTAACAACTTTAGCCCTAGCATTGCATCTAATGGTAAATATGATTTTAAAAAATGTGGTGTATCTGTAATTTAACGTTTTTGGGTTTTCATTGTTTATTAATTTGAAAAGAATTATATATGTATGTTGTATTAATTATTTTATCATTTCTTCCCATAAGATTTACCCCTACATTACCCTACATGTTTAAACTTTTGTTTGTTTCATTTGCTTTAGTAAATTGCTTACTTTTTGCTTCCAATTCTTGTTAAGTGTAGGTAATATGAGAATTAGAAATTAGAAACAATAGCACTATGTGGTTATACTGTGGTGTTTAATTCTTTATGTGCATGTATATGATTGTATTTAGTCTGTTTAGTATGGTTCCATTTCAGTGGTGTTTGGAAATGTAAGAAACACAGCGCTTTTATTTCATTAAGACGTACCCATTCATATAATATACTGTACAATCAGGTTCACTGTACCTTGACAGAATGCTGTAAAATTGTCTGAGAAATGGATGTATTCATGTCAGCTATTGACATGCATGTTTTGTTGTTTGACATAAATTACCGACCTGCCAACATTTAAATGATACATTATATTCGTTCTTAAAGATGTGCTTTTTCACCATAATTATAGATGTACAACACTATGGGTTCCAGAAATCCAGTGTTATTTAAATGTTCTGACTCTTAATTGAGTAGTTAAATTTTTTTTTTATTATATTGTGGTTCATGTACTATATGTATGTTGATAAATAAAAGATGCTTTGATAAAACAAAAACAATGTATGCTAACATTGTCTTCTTTAACATTTTCAGTGGCAACAACTACTGTAGAACCAACCTTTGAGCCAAGAGAAAATAGTAAGTATGAATGGGTTTCATCATCACATTATCTAAAAAATGGAAACTCCACAGAGTAGCAAATACCAACAAGAAATATACTGAGCACATCATCGAGGCAGGCAATGCATAAAGATTCAACCTTAATTGTTATTCCAATATAAGAGGGTTGGATTTTTGTTTCTCCCTGTTGAACTTCAAAATTGATGGAAATCCATATTTTCAAGACCCCTTGTGCGGAACACAGCCGCTAAGAGTCAGGCCAAAAACTTGAAATATGTGTTAAATAGATATATTTTATGTGTATTCGGCCAAAATTTCATAACATAAAAATCCATGCATTGATGAAATTAAAACGAAAAGGTTCATTTCATAAGATTCCTGACATGTTTGAAGTGGTGGCCATTTTGAATTCTTTTGCATAAAATCATTAACCATTCATTGCCAAATTGCCCATACTCTCAATGCCTCAGTCACATTTGATCTACAGCAACTATACAGTGGTTGTTACAAGCTTCCCAAAATTAAGAGAAATATGCAGCATATAATATAGGGATAAGCAGTATGATGTAGATTTTCTATATCAATTTTGTGAAGCTATCAAAATTCATTCATTGGGATGATAACAAGATATTATTTTAAAGTTGGTTAAACAAAGGGGATGGTACCTAATTATCAACAGTTTTGGAAAATGAAGTTAATTGTGTTATTGTCTGAACCCCCTCCCCGCATCTCAAGAAATTTAAAAATATTGATTTTTCTTTCATTTGAACATTAAAAAATCAACAGTATTTGCAAACTAAACTATCATTTACTCCCTCCCCCTAACAAAACTAATTTTGCTATTCCACATCTGTTGATAACTGGACACCATTCCTAATAGTGGGACTCAGAATGGTCTAATTTGTGAATTGAGCAGGACATGTGTTGAAGAATTCCACAATTAACCATGTCAGTTGTCACAGAGCTAAACTTGGAAGGGCATCAAAGATTTATAGTGAAATTCCTTGACACACTTACTGCTCAATTCACAAAATAGACCATTCTGAGTGCTGCTTATAGACTTAATCAGCTTTAAAATGATTTTCAGTGGCATCAACTACTGTTGAACCTGGGATAAACATACTAGATATAGTATATTCAACTCAGGTAGAACCAAGTTTTGAGCCAAGAGAACATAGTAAGTTGGAATGGGTTAAATCATTTTAACTCATAGTACCCCGGACAGGTTGGATGATGCAGTCGTGTTTTTACTATATATTTACAAAAGAACAACCATTCTTATTGAAATTTTCACATTTTATTCTGGAGACAATTTCCAAGATGGAAAAAAATTATTTTAATAAAATTCCCAATTTTATGATTTTAATAGGCTATTTTTCAAAAAGACGCCACTGGCAATAAAATACAGGTTTTTGCTTGAACGATCAAACTTTTAACGTCATTTTAAAGATTGTCAAGCCAATGTTTGGCTGCCTAAAGTCTTTCCAGATGTATTTGATGCCATATTAATTATATGATGCCATATGATTATTGTTATTCATTTTTGTCATATTCAATGTATTACAGTGCATTAGGCCAATGCAAAACTTGTCACTCTGGGTCACTTTTCCTCTGGTTACACATCTTTTTCGCCACTGGGTTTTCCCAACACCGTCACTCAACATGCAACCCTGTGGCATGTAAATTGCACCATGCTTTGAATATGTCAGGTGTCCCTGACAATTTCATGATAGAATTTAACACAGCTATATTAACATCTCTGATGGATCTAATGCCGAACATACTTGAAGTTGGAGATTCATAATGGTTTTCCTAATTTTGCACAGTATTGAACAGTTCGATCTGGTTGAACTCGTGTCCGTTGACAAGAAGATTGACCTTCTCTATCTGGACTTAATCTAGGGAACGTTTCATAAAATGAGACCCAGAGCAACAAAGTTTTTATTGGTCAAATGCACTTTAATAATATTGAATATGACGAAAGTGAATGACAATAATCAGCCACAATTATTAATATGACAACAAATACATCTGAAAAGACTTTAGGCAGCCGAAAATTCAATTGCGAGGCAATATTTGAAATGACGTTATAAATTCAATTGTTCAAGCAAAAACCTGTATTTTATTGACAGTGAAGCGTTTTTGAAAAAAGCCTGTCAAAATCATAAAATTGGACATTTTGAAAAAATATTTATTTTCCATGTTGGAAATTGTCTCTTTAATAAATTTTGAAAATTTCAATAAGAATTATTGTTCCATTGCAAATATAGAGTAAAAACACGACTGCATCATTCAACCTGTCCGGGATACTAATTTAATGATATTTTAATCATAATGGCCTTTACTTTTAGAAAAGTACACAAAACTCGAATACATCCTAAAATTCTGCCACTTACAAATTCTCAATTGGCCATTAGACCAATTGTATATCAGAATGTTGATATTATTTATAGAGAAATTGAGAAAGTTCATACAATCTTGATGAGAATAATGTTAGGGGTACTCTGTACATATATACATACGTAAAAACAATCATAATTCATTTCCATTACTAGTCTGTACACTTTAGTTAGTAAGTTTCATATTTGAGGCTTATAAAGATGTTTTTAACAGCACTGCATGTACAGGCTACCGACCCTCGCTTTTATAATTTTCCTCCAACTTTCAGATTGTCAGCTAGCTGTGATTGGAAAGCCGATCTTCATGAGGTCAACAAACACATTCTGGGGAGCATGGATGCAAGACCCTGATCCCCCAAGTTCCGCATTTGAGAGAAAATATTGGTTCACACGACATTTTGATGGCAAACTTCTCTACGAATATAACTCCAAGGACTCATTTGTTAAGGATAAATTGGATAACACCCATGAGTTGGATGATTTATATTTCGGAACCGGGAATGTCGTTTATCAGGGTGCTTTTTACTACCATCAATCAGGGTACAATGTTATTGCAAGATATGATTTAACCCTGGAGAAAAAAACAGCAAAAGTGAAGCTACCACGGGCTGCTTACACTGGGAAAGACTTTGTCTACTCTACAGAATATAATTATTTTGATATGGCCGTTGATCAAAATGGACTCTGGGTTATATACGGAACCCAGGGTTCTAAAAACAAACTCAGAGTAAGCAGGCTGGATCCCAATACATTAGAAATTCAAAAAACAATAATTATAAAGATCCGTCACAGTGAATATGGCAATGGGTTTATCATGTGTGGACTTCTATATCTTGTACGGGATACCCATGCTCAGGTGACGCAAATTGATTTTGTGTATGACCTTTGGACCAAAGAGAAATTAAACATGTCACCGTTGAGGTTCACAAATCCTTATAAAATGAACAATATGATTTCTTATAACTACAGAAAACAAGAAATATATGGATGGGACAAGGGAAATCAAATTAGATACCCAATTAGGTTATAGGTATAAAAATACTCAGATACATGCGTATCTCAGAGAGCACCTCAATAATAATATACTTTCTAATATTTTAGTATTTTCTGAAAGAGATTGTGATTGTCAATAGGCAGGCCCGTAGCCAGGATTTGCCAAGGGGGGGGGGTTCACTTGTGACAATTTTGGTCCAAAAAGGCATATAGCATTATACAGTTATATTAATAGCAATCATAATCTCACAGAGATCTCCAAAGGAAAACAGAGCATTCGCCAAAATTCCAAAAAGTTATGCATTCAATCCCCACAAAGATGGACTGACTTCACATCACTTTCATGTTACCCATTCTTTGCTTGCAAGGAGGAAACCTAAGATGCTATCAGTGTAGTATATATACTTCATAAGATATGTTTCTATTGAAATAATCTTTCCAAATATAATGCACAGTGTACATAAGCATCTTTTTCATTCACAGAAAGCGCACAGATTGTCTTCTAAACAAACAAATGAGGAATAAGGAAATAGGGCAGGAGTAGATATTAATGGTCATGTTAAACATGTTAAAGTATTTGTTCAAATTTTGGAATAACTTGAATAACTGAGAACATATCAATCCCATCTTATCAAGTCAAGCATTGTAGTATATAGCATTGAGGTAGCTCCACACTTTCAGAATTTTAGAAAAAAAATTCAGATTTTTTTTATTTGGGTAAATGTCAATTAATTTTGATTTATAACCATTGTAGTCCGCCATAAATATTCAATTATGCTTTTAGACGAGTAGGGATTTGCCAAAAAGTGCTTATTTAAAGAAATAAAAGGATCGACTGACCCTGTTGGGTTTCATGGTATTTTTGGAAAGTTTAACATATCTACTACATATTCCAAATAATGAGAAGTTCTGAAAATGGTCCCGTTGCCATGGAAACGGACGCTGATTAAAATACCTACTATTAACAGTATTTAAATCACCAATAACATGTTTTATTTTATAACTTTTCCATTTCTTATCCGTTTTAAATAATGTTGGTACCAAATGAAAGCATGTTGAGTGCCCTTTCAGATAAAGTATAATTTATGTAAATTAGCTCATTTGCATATCTTTTGTGACGTCATAATTGCAATTTTTCCTAATATTTTGAGCAAATTTTAAAATACATGTTATATATACCCCCCTTGAATTAAATAAACGCAGTAAAAGTGTAATATCTTCAGAGAATATAAATTTAGGACAAACAGACTTTATTTTGATATATAGAACATAGCTAAATCAGTTTAGATGATATAGCCTACATCCTTTTTAATTAGTACATAGCTGGAAAATATACAGCTAAACGTAGACCTATTTTATGGTATTTTACAAAATATGAGCCAGCCTTATATAAATTATCTGGGCTTGAGATGGAAAACACTGATATTAGCAGGTTACCCCCAGACCCTACTGGGTCTCTAGGTATCTTTAGAAAGCTAAGCATCTCTACTACATATTCCACATAGTGCTAAAATCTGAAAATGGTCCCGTTGCCATGGAAACGGACGCTGATTAAAATACCTGCTATTAACAGTACTTAAATCACCAATAACATGTTTTATTTTATAACTTTTCCATTTCTTATCCATTTTAAATAATCTTGGTACCAAATGAAAGCATGTTGAATGCCCTTTCAGATAAAGTTTAATTTATGCAAATAAGCTCATTTGCATATCTTTGTGACGTCATAATTGCCATTTTACCTTATATTTTGAGCAAGTTATTAAAATATAATATTATAAATATCGACTTGAGATAAATAAGCGCAGTAAACGTGTAATATTTTCATAGAAGATGCATATGAGACAGACGGGCTTTATTTTGATATTTAGAATATAGTTCAAACAGTCTAGATGATATGGCCTACATCTTTTTTAATTAGAACATAGCTGGAAAATAAACAGCAAAATGTAGACCTATTTTATGGTATTTTACCAAATATGAGCCAGCCTTAAATAAAATATGTGGGCCTGATATGGAAAACACTGATATTAGCAGGTAGACCCCAGACCCTGATGATATCTTTTGACAGCTAAGCATCTCGACTACATCTTCTACATAATGAGAAGTTCTGAAAATGGTCCTGTTGCCAGGGAAACATACACTAATTAAAATACCTGCTAATAACACTATTTAAATCACAAATAACCTGCTTTGTACGAGGGTATATCATAAAGTTCTCATAATATCTCTATATTTTTTGATAGATTAATACAGCATTCTATACTACACATTATGTGAAAAATTCATCAGAATATATTGAAAAATAAAAAAAATTAGAGAGATATTATGAGAACTTTATGATATACCCTCGTATTACTCTTTCATTTCTTATCCGTTTTAAATAATCTTGGTACCAAATGAAAGCATATTGTAGGCCCTATCACATGTATCAGGTAAATTACAATTTATGCAAATTAGCTATAATTAGACGTCATATTTGATATTTTTATACCATTTTTATCAACTTATTATATATGTTATAAATCCTCTTCAATCTATTAAACAAGTGTAGTAAACCTGTCATAGCTCCATATACCGATATGATGAATGTAACACAACACATCATCATTTTGATAAATAGAGTAGACCTCCACCAGGATAGGAAATACAGAATGTGCCCTCTTTAAATAGTTCAATTATTTATTCCTTATAGTGGGGGGAATTTACCCCTATATTTGGCAGAATATTTCAGATGGTGATACAAGTATAGACTTTTGCTTTTCTACTACTTCAAACCTTTTTAAAAAAATCTGTCCCTGTGATCAATGGATTTTTTTACTTTTTCCCCCCAAAATCCAAGATGGCCGACACACTATAGCTCGGAAAATATATTTAGCTCTAATTTGGCAAATACAGCTGTAATATAAAGTTTAAATTGTGTTTTCAGGACTAAATACACTAATAGGGACACCACATAATACATGTCATAAGCTTAAGTCAAAAATAATAATTATATGGGAGTTAAGCAAGGTTCATTTCTGGCCCCTCTCTTATTTTGTTCATTTATAAGTTTGTATAACCCTACTCCTATGAATTAAACATAATTAGTAAGACTGTTCTTAAATTTTAGATTTTTATGCTCTGCTACATATCAAATTAGTTTGTATAAATGACCGTAGCCTAAAGAATTGAAGGATTTTCACAAATAAATGGTTTATCGAGTACAGACATTTACCATGCATTCACAATTACAGACTATTACAGCGACATCAGGACCACTAAAAGCAAATTCAATTATTCATTAAATTTTAGTTGAGGTTAAAAACATTAATACAGTCCATCAATGTATTCTATGCATTATTGAGTATGAATATGAAATATGTGGTTTTCCATGACTCTTCAGTAAGGAGGAGTGAAATACCAAGCAGGAAGGTGATGTGAAATTTGAGTAAGAATTTGCAAAATTTAATCTAACAAAAATCTACCATTATTTGTAGAATTTTGATTAAATGTAAAATATTAATTCATCTCATAAATATATCTTATGCATTCTTTCACGGTGTCCAACCCAAACGCTTTTACATGCACAACGGAATGTTTCATCCACGCGGAAACGGGGCTAATGAAGATCCCACTATGACTGTAAGTATTGTTTCACTAGTTTCTCATACATATCACGTGTTATGGTGACATTATGTACCATTCGATGAACAATATCCTGATCAAAGCTCCGTAGTGTAGATCAAACAAATCTGAAGTTGACGAATTGACCACAAATTACGAATTAAATTAGTATTTATATGAAATTTGCTCTAAAACATAAAACCTTTGACAAAAAGTTTATATGTGGATTAATCTTTCTTCTTTTGATGCCAAGTGATACAATAGATCTTTTCTTTCTCTCCTTGAAAAGGAAAGTTGAGCCTAGTACCGCAGTGTTTCCAGTTCACTGTGTTAACCAGATCGCAGCATTTCTTGAATATGAGAATGTCATCATTTTTAAGACTTTTTGTTATCAAATCATGATTACGATAATGTATGGTGTGATCAAGGTTTGGAATTTGACCAAAATATACTCTGATGCTTAACTCAACTAGTCGCATGTCTCGACAAACAGGGTTTTGACTGGAAGAATAACAAATACGTTTATGAATTTTGATAACTATACTGCTTAAGACAGCTCTTCCTAATTGCTTCAAACGTCAACAGCCATCCAAGTACAATATATCACACCCATTAAATGGTATACTTGAAATAAGTAACACATACTTCTTATTCCCATCATTGGGGAAATTGTCAGTGTATCATCATTTCCATTCGCCATACTCCAGAGCGTTTCTTTGTTTAGGTTCAGTAATGAAACGCTCAATCTTGCATGTAAGAGCGTTTGGGTTGGACACCGTGTCCTTTAATTGTGAAAATCAAATATGTGGGATGTCATGACTCCTCAGTAAAGAGGAAGGAAACGATTGGAGGGAAGATGATTCAAAATTTTGGTAGGAGTTTGCTAATTAGAAATTAAATCTTCCAATATTCTACAATTATTTTGAATTATTAAATTATCACAATTTCTAAATAATATTTAATGAACAATTAATTTTGTAATGTCTGGGGCTAAGGCCATGGATGTTTTTTTAAGAATAAACAAAAATGAATATAAAATATGGTAAAAAATCTATTCTAACATTTTGCAAACATGACATATCTGCAACAACTACATGTACTAGGGCAACAGCCCAACTCATATGTCGGTGTTTTCCATATACAGAACAAGTGAAACAATTGATATAAATACACCCAGAAAGTGCTTATTTTGCAAAAAAAGAAAGACCAATCGAGAGAATTCCACCTACTCACATGCCTTGGAATAGCACATTAAAGGGACAGCTTACCAGGCTGGTTTAGTTTGGGGACAAATGCTAAATGCTTCACCACCTGGCCTTTACAACTACATCAACTGGGGATGGGACAATAATGAAACTGTTACCCCACTGTGGACAACCCAGACACAGTCCTCCAAAGCCTGCCAAGCAATGTTCATATAAAAAGCTTTGTTCTGTATGCACTTGTAAAAAGCCAGGACTTACATTTTGTGACAGTATTTATGAGATTGAAATTATAACA